GCGATCCCATTGGTGTCCCTTTTGTTTGTTTGTAGATTTTGTTGTTGAATTGAAAATATGTTGTTAGGCATAAATCGATGAGCTCCAGTAGACTTTGAATTTGAAGTGTCGTGTATTTGGTGAGATTTGTGTCGTTGTTGAGTAGCAGGGATATAGTTTCTTTTGCTAACTGTGGTTCAATTGAGGTGAACAGTGCTGTTACGTCGAAGGATATCATGAGTTCGTCGTTGTTGATTTGAATGTCCTTAATTTGGTCCAAGAATTGTGTAATACACAAACCGAACATTCCACTACGTCCAATAGTAGCACTCCCTGGAACGCCAACGTACAATTTGTCAAAAGAAATTTCACGAATACTGAGACATCTAGTAGATTCAGCCAAACACTCCATCAAATCCCCAACACAATTCTTGGACCAAATTAAGGACATTCAAATCAACAACGACGAACTCATGATATCCTTCGACGTAACAGCACTGTTCACCTCAATTGAACCACAGTTAGCAAAAGAAACTATATCCCTGCTACTCAACAACGACACAAATCTCACCAAATACACGACACTTCAAATTCAAAGTCTACTGGAGCTCATCGATTTATGCCTAACAACATATTTTCAATTCAACAACAAAATCTACAAACAAACAAAAGGGACACCAATGGGATCGCCAATATCAGGACTGATCGCAGAAGCAGTGATGCAAAGACTAGAAGCCACGATATTACCAGTGATCAAGCCAAAAATTTGGATTCGCTACGTAGACGACACCTTCGTCATCGTCAAAAAGGATGAACTGGAAAACACATACAAATTGATCAACAACGTCTTCAATGACATCAAGTTCACAATGGAACAGGAGTCAAACAACCAACTAGCATTTTTGGATATATTGATCACTAGAACTGATACAGGAAAACTGGAAACTCAAGTACATAGGAAACCAACCCATACAGATCAAATTCTCAACTACAACAGCAACAACCCGAGGGCTCACAAAATCAACTGCGTACACACATTGTTCAAGAGGGCGAGGACACACTGCAGCACACTGGTAGCACGAAGAAACGAAGAGAAATACCTGAAGGACATATTTCAAAAGAACAGCTACCCAATCAACTTCATCAAAAAGCACCAACGGCACACAGCATCACAACCCAAGTCAAGCACAAAAATCAGTAAAAGGATCACCCTACCGTACATACAAGGAATATCAGAAACTGCAACGAGACTGCTGAAAACCTTCGGGATAGGTGTGGCACACAAACCAACAAAATCACTACAATCAATCCTATGCAAACCAAAAGATGAAATAACAAAGGAGAACAAATCAAACATTATCTACAAAATAAATTGTACCAACTGCGACAAACACTACATCGGACAAAGCGGACGTCCCCTCCACCTACGCCTACATGAACATCAATTAGCAGTCAAACGCCATGATATCTCTTCACTTATTTCAATACACGTGGATAACTACGGACACTCATTCGATTGGGAAAATGTAGAAATCTTAGACAGAGGAAACTCCAAAAACACCAGAGAATTTCTAGAAGCCTGGCACTCAGGTCAATCAGCAATCAACAAACATATTGAAATCAATCCAATTTATCAACCAATCAGGAAAATCATGCATATATATAAGAACAAAAATCAAAACAATGGGAGACACAACCAAAACAAAGAAGTGAACAATGATAAATTTAAGGTCAACAAGAACCAATCAACATCGAGGTGCACAGAACAAGCTGTGAAACACATAAGGAGAAAATCGAACACTTCACTTCTATCTGAAGTTTGTGCTGATGATGTCGTTCAGAAGAACGATGAAAGCTCCACGACCAAACCATCCAGCTCAGAGAACAAAACGCCATCAAAATTATATCCAATCTTGTTTCTCATGTATATGGACGGTATATGTAACATCGTTAAACTTAGGAGATCATAATTATACGCTGATGACCTCAAAAAAATACAGTTTTAAGCCTGAAGCTCAAAGTAAAAGCATATCCCAGATTCAAAGTGACTTCACTAACCTAAATTTCTGGAGTTAAAAATGGCAATTACCATTTAACCTCATGTGTGGGACCATGTATTTCGGAAAACATCCCTATCAACTACAACTTAAAGTTGTAGAGTTCGAACACTCAAATCAGTGCACGATCTAGGTATTAATTACACAGGAAGCCTAAAATTTGAAGAACATGCCTCCTTTATTACTTCTGAACCTAAACGGCTAATTGGTTTCATCGTAAGAAAAATCTCTTTATGGCAAATTCGGCTAAAAGATAATCCGATATTTTCTACAAGGCAGTATATGGACCCACACTTCTAACCTCCTGCCCATGATCCATGACTCAATCTACAAACTCAGAAACAGCGCATATACACTACTTACTGTAAAACACTAAGAACCGGTGCGTTGTATGTTTTTTACGATGCAGCATAGTTTGATGTGGAACGGGTTGCCAATACCTATCTGTAAGTGTGACACTATCACCAAGTTTGAAAGACTAATAACCCTGTTACTTGACACCAAAGAGCTTCATCAACCATTCGTATTACTTCCACTCAAAAATGGACTGCCTAATATCTAGAATGATCATGAATATAGTGGACCCCAATGTCATTAATATGGATATAACTAAATGACAGAACTAATGGTTCCTCTTCTCCCATTGCTCATTGATTATTAGTCATGCCTTTATGCTCCTACTCCTCACATTCAGATTCTGAATCTCTTTGATGTTTAAAGTCACATTATTTCCCTCAAGAAGCTACATGTTATATTTTTTATTACAAGCAGACAGATTACTGACCTTACGGATGCTGCTCAGCTGTCGCTGATCGTAAGAAACTCATAATATCTTAACGTCCTATGAGTTCCTTGTTAAGTTTTTTTCTCGGTTACTTACCTTCGTACTCTGAAATTTCGAAACCCTTTATTTTTTTATATCTTTTGCTCTGCATCTGTTTTATCATCTCTAAACCACATACCATCGAAGTAGTACCTTACAACTTCTACCACTAGTTAACTATATGGCAGTGTGGTATACTAAATGAAAATCAAACCTACAATACGAATTGTTTAGTTGTCTGTAACGTGGAACCAGTAAAGATATCGCATTCCTACAAGGGTTGCAAAAGAGCTTACATTTAGGCAATATCCATACACACAATAAATATAAGACTGCCTAAAATCACAAAAAGGTGGTGCTACTGACCAGCAAACATGGTGTTGGTGAAAAAACCTCAGCCTACCCACGTCTGTAGAGCAGAATATTTTGTTAAATCATGGCTGCATATAGTTTAGCGAAATGTAACTAATCAACTGTATTGATACCAGTTTCTTATACCAAGTACTTCTGACTCCAGTTTATAAGCTTGAGTTGGTTCCGCTTACTTCCGAGAAATCTTAATAGAAGCAAGAACTAAACAATTACAATAAATTCGATTCCATTCATGACTCTGCCGAAATAATAATAATAATAATGAGTTATAATAATTTCGACGAATAATAGTCATTTGTGTACCCAGACACTGTGTTTTACTTACTAAAATTTAGAAATACATATAATCCCAAACTTTCAGCATTTTGTCCATTCAACGCTTGGCTTGTTTTCTTTAACTTATTGAAATACACATGGTTAAAGATTGACCTAGTGTAAGAGTAATTTTACCTTAATTATTTCGTAGCAAATGACTAAACCTCACTAGTTCAAATGTTGTTTATTCATCCTCGTCCTTTTCCAAAGATGATGGGTGGGGCATAGATTACGGAAACCATCAGATTGCATCACGAGAGAAGCGCCAAGTTTAAATCCTGGAGGGAAACGGAAAAGAGGAAAGCCGAAGAACACACTACGTCAGAAATTAAGGGAAGACATCAAAAGGATGAATATCAACTGGGAAGGATTGTCCAGGCCACAGTTGGATAGAGAACGTTGGTGGGCGGCCCATACTCCTTCACGAGGGATGACAGGCGTAAGTAAACAAGTACAATGAAGACAAGTTTATTAAATGAAAGCCACAATCCGTGTGGGACAAAAACTTCTTGTCGATTAACTTATCGGATTTCACATCTTTCTACTAGATATAGTTTGTCCTAATAATTCACATATTTTTGATGAAAATCCTCATAAAGATGAGAAAAATATGTCAAATGAATCAAATCATGATCGGAAATCTGATGCAATTTTGATAGATGCTGATTTTTTTAATGATCAACTAGAAACTTTTACGATGTACACAATCTGTTTAGAACTATTGACCGAGCAGTTAATAATATAAGCTGAACTACTAGAAATCCAACGGTGTTAATGTCTAACTTCAACCAATCCACGAAGTTGCGCCACCGTACACCATTGTCTCCAGTGAGTTGTTATCTCACAACAGACCTGGTTGAACTCCACTGGTAACGGCTTCTCACTAGAACTCCAGTTACCAGTGGAGTTCAACCAGGTCTGTTGTGAGATAACAACTCATTGGAGACAATGGTGTACGGTGGCGCAACTTCGTGGATTGGTTGAAGTTAGACATTAACACCGTTGGGTGCCGGCTCAGTGGTCTAGTGGTTAAGTGCTCGCGCGCGGAGCCATTAGGTCCTGGGTTCGAATCCCGTTGGGTGGGGTATCGTGGGTGCGCACTGCTGAGGAGTCCCGTACTAGGACGAAACGGCCATCCAGTGCTTCCAGGTTTTCCATGGTGGTCTAGCTTCAATTGACTCATGATTTCAACCTGTAAAATTTTTAAAACTCTTCACACAACCCATCCTGAACTACTAGATTTGGTAACTATTTAGGAATATAAACTAAATGATAGTGATTAGTCAAGATAAAATTTTCTGAAGAGGATCAATTTAGCCATTTAGCAGGTAAATCTTAAAAGACTTCTAATGTGGGTCGATGTGAAATTCGCACAGTTATAATACTCATTAATAAGGAACGACATTACCTAAACATGGTATTGAAAATAAAGCTGTAAAATAAAAAGGAGCATCCCAGAATAGAAATCATTTTTATTTATTTACAAAAGGATGTATATACAAAATGATATTAATTTCTGATAAAATAAGTAATACACATAAGTACCATTATCTCCACACGAATTCACTATGAAGCAGGCCTCTCACAAACAGCCTGTAGAAAAACACGCTGCACACACAAGTCTTTAGCTGCGTTTCTCGTTTCTTTGTGAACATAATGAAGGCGATGCACAAACAAACCAGCATTTGAGAATAAATCAGATAGTTCGTCTTTTGTAAAAAAGTAAGACAGTGTTCCATCTTGTCTAACATAGGATGGTCGATCAGCAAATAAACGAGAGCCCCTACCAAATCTCAATTGAGCATGATCATATTGACCGTAATCACGAAACAAAAGTCGCCCGCCGGGTGAAAGGATGCTGATTGAAAATTTAAAGATATGAAAATAATTCAATGAAATTATCATGATACAGTCAGTAAGCTACAACATAGGACTAGGCACATATATGCATCGGTTTAAGTTGCCATACCTCATTAACAAAACAAGATGAACAAATTTTTAGAAGTAGTTACTTCAATGGTAGTAATATATAAAATAAATATGTATAGGCATATAGTACAGGAAGATATAAAGCAATTTTAATCTCACGGTTTAAGGGAAAACAAAGGGTGTGTAAACGCATACCATTGTGATCGATTTTGAACCATGTAACCCATAATCTCCAACCATTGGTTACGATAGTCACACAGACCCCAACCAAGTAGTCTGCATCAACTAAAATGGCTCAGACTAGAAGTTAGTGACTTAAAGCACTGACGCCACGTTTTGGTTTGGCCGCCCCTAACTTTCTACCATCCTTCTCCGACACTAGTCAGCATTGCGCGTCGTGGTAATTGGTGTTCAGACACACGTAGCCTAACCATCGCAGCCGATGGAAATTCACAACCTCATCAACTGACTTACCGTCATTGCTTAATTAATACAATGCGTCTCGCTTTCGCCATGGGTGACGCAAGTTGGCGAAAGCCAAACAAGCTTTTTGAATCGTACAGACTTCGTCAGACACCGACCCATTAGGGCTCATCAGATTCCCAAGATAAGTGGAGTTGTCTACGCGTTCGACTACTTCACTCCCTATCCTTAGTTCAGGTGTTGACTGAAGCCGGCCATTCGTGAAGCAACAACTTGCATTTACTTACTTACTTACGCCTGTTACTCCCAATGGAGCATAGGGCGCCGACCAGCATTCTCCAACCCACTCTGTCCTAGGCCTTCTTTTCTAGTTCCATCCAATTCTTGTTCATTTTTCTCATGTCTACCTCCATTTTTCGGCGTAATGTGTTCTTTGGTCTTACTCTTTTCCTTTGACCTACAGGATTCCATGTGAGGGCTTGTCTTGTGACGCAGTTGGGTGCTTTCCTCAATGTAAGTCCTATCCACTTCCAACGCTTCTTCCTAATTTCTTCCTCCGCTGGGATCTGGTTTGTTCTCTTCCACAGTACGTTGTTGCTAATAGTGTCCGGCCAATGGATCTGAAGTATTTTGCGTAGACAATTGTTAATAAACACCTGTATTTTCTGGATGATGGCTTTCGTAGTTCTCCAGGTTTCTGCCCCATATAGTAGAACTGTCTTGTCATTTGTATTGAAAATCCTGACTTTGGTGTCGGTTGACAGTTGCTTTGAGTTCCAGATGTTCCTCAGTTGTAAATATGCTGCTCTTGCTTTGCCGATCCGCGCCTTCACATCTGCATCAGATCCACCCTGTTCATCAATGATGCTGCCCAAATACGTAAAGGATTTTACATCTTCCAAATCTTCTCCGTCAATTTTGATTGGATTGGTGCATTCTGTGTTGTATCGGAGAATCCTGCTTTTCCCTTTGTGTATATTGAGACCTATTGCTGCTGAGGCTGCTGCCACACTGTTCGTCTTCTCCTGCATCTGTTGTTGCGTTTGGGATAGAAGGGCCAGATCGTCTGCGAAGTCTAGATCATCCAACTGCATATTAGATGTCCATTGTATCCCGCGCTTCCCTTCAGACGTTGACGTCTTCATGATCCAGTCGACCACCAGGAGAAAGAGAAAGGGTGAGAGTAGGCAACATTGCCTAACACCGGTCTTCACTTCGAACGACTTTGTCAACTGTCCTCCATGCACAATTTTGCAGTGTAATCCATCATATGAACTCTGTATGATATTGCCTATCTTCTGAGGCACGCCGTAGTGTCGAAGAAGTTTCCATAGTGTTGTTCTGTCCACGCTATCAAATGCCTTTTCGTAGTCAATGAAGTTGATGTAGAGTGATGAATTCCATTCAATTGATTGTTCCACAATGATCCGTAGAGTTGCGATTTGGTCTGTACACGACCTATCCTTACGGAATCCTGCCTGTTGGTCACGAAGTTGGGCGTCTACGCAGTCCTTCATCCTGTTTAACAATACCCTGTTGAAGACTTTTCCCGGTATTGAGAGAAGAGTGATGCCCCCGTAGTTATCACACTTGCTGAGATCGCCTTTCTTCGGCATTTTGATCAGAAGTCCTTCTTTCCAGTCTGTTGGTACTTGTTACTCATCCCAAATCTTATTGAAGAGAATGTGGAGTATCCTTGCAGTTACTGCTACGTCTGCTTTTAGTGCCTCTGCTGGGATGTTGTCCGGTCCTGCTGCTTTGCCACTCTTGATTTGTCTGATGGCCATGCTGATTTCTTCAATTGTTGGTGGGCCAACATTGATTGGGAGGTCCGTGGGTGCTGCTTCGATGTTGGGTGGGTTCAGTGGAGCTGGTCGATTCAACAGTTCTTTGAAGTGTTCTACCCACCTGTTTTGTTGCTCTTCAATGTTGGTGATTACCTCGCCTTCCTTGCTTTTCACTGGTCGTTCTGGCTTGCGGCGATTTCCAGAGAGTTTCTTTGTCGTGTCGGACAGTTCTCTCATGTTTCCTTCTCTTGCAGCATTTTCCGCCGTCGTTGCTAAATCTTCCACATATTTACGTTTGTCGGTTCTGATGCTCCTCTTCACTTGTTTGTTTATTTCCGTGTATTCAGCTTGTGCCTTGGCTTTTTCTGCTCTTGTTCGGCTGGTATTGATCGCTGCCTTCTTGTTCCTCCTTTCTAGAATCTTATCCAGTGTACCAACAGTGATCCATTCCTTGTGATGGTGCTTCTTGTGACCCAGGACCTCATGACATGTTGAAGTGATTGCCTCTTTGATCCCCTTCCAGTTGCTCTCCACAGTAGTTCCTTCTCCATTGAGTAGATCATGAAAGGCCTGGAACTTGTTGCTGAGGACTATCTTGAATTTGTTGAGTTTGTTAGTATCCTGAAGAAAGGCCGTATTGAAATTTTGTGATATTGTCCGCCCCGTTGTCCAGTGCTTCTTGAGTTTCAATTTCATCTTGGCGACCAGCAAGTGATGATCTGATGCTATATCAGCTCCCCTCTTGGTTCTCACGTCCTCTATAGTCCTCCTGAACGTCTTGTTGATGCAAATATGGTCGATTTGGTTTTGTGTAGAGTGATCCGGTGAAGTCCATGTGGTTTTGTGTATGCGTTTATGTGGGAATATGGTACCGCCTATGACCAGCTTATTGAAGGCACATAGATTTGCAAATCTCTCACCGTTTTCGTTTCTTTCTCCCAGCCCGTGACGTTCCATGATGTCTTCATATCCAGTGTTGTCCATTCCAACCTTGCCGTTGAAATCTCCCATCAGAATGGTCAGGTCCTTTGTTGGGCACTTCTCGACGATTGACTGAAGCCTATTGTAGAATTGATCTTTAGCGTCTTCATTATAGTCGTTGGTAGGCGCATAGCATTGGATGATGTTCATTGAAATACCCTCTTTCTTTGTTTTGAACGAGGCTTTGATGATCCTTGGTCCATGAGATTCCCATCCTATAAGCGCATTTTGCGCTTGTTTGGACAGCATCAATGCAACTCCTTGTGTATGTGGTGCATTTTCTTCTTCATGGCTGGAGTATAACAGGAGCTCTCCTGTAGTTAGTCGTTGTTGTCCAACTTGTGTCCAATGTGTTTCACTGATCCCAAGTACCTTTAGGTTGTATCTTCTCATTTCTGCAGCAATTTGGAAGGCTCTCCCGGTGTCCCACATTGTACGAACATTCCATGTACCTAAATAAATGGTCGCTCTGATTGTCAGAAGGGGCATCGGCCTCGTAACTTCCGAAGGAATCCGGCTTTCATCATGAGGCGTGGGAGAAATGCATCCCAAACATCCTGGCATTGTTGTTCAGTGCTACTAAAAGATTCTACATTTTATCAGCGTCTTCACTAGACAGGACTATATCATCTGCGTATTCTAAGTCGATAAGTGGACCTCCTGGTAGGACACCAATGCCCGGAAATTCAGTCGACGAGAGCGCTATTTCCAGTAGCAGGTCTATGATGAAGCTGAACAAAAATGGAGAAATGGACAGCCCTGACGGACACCACTTGAGGTTGCAAAAGCAGATGATAGTTCGCCATAAGCTCGATTGGTAGTATTCAAATAAAGAGCCTTCATAAGGTTTATTTACTTCTGAGGCACACCTTTCAATGACAAACACTGCTGCTTTTAAGTCAAGAAAGACTATCATTGTCGGATGCCGATAAACATGCCTGTGTTCTAAAACTTGACGAATGGTGAATATGTGGTCGTTACAGCCACGACCAGGTCTGAAACCAGCCTGATTTTCTCGTGTTTGCAGTCCACGAGTCTTTGTTAGACGCTAATTACTGGCGACAATTATTGAGACTAGTATTTTAGATGCTATAGTAGTCAAACTGATCTCTCTATGGCTATAACAGGATGATTCTGACCCCTTATTATATATTGGGACAATCAGTGATTGCGACCAGTCAGATGGGATATCATGGTACCAGATTTTAAAAATCTCTCGTGCACTCTGATCATGTTTGTGTGTGCGTTCATACAGATGGTTACAATCTAACGGGTTATGACAAAAACAAGTACAAGAAACCTATGTATTTTAAAATAAACTGTGTGTCACATCATCATACAAAATGTACAATCACTGGAAGAGTTAAGTTCTAAAACATAACTATCGATCTTAACAATGACGAATGCAGATTTTTTAACAGAGAGTAAAAACATCACGCAAGCCGAACTGATATGAAGAGAATGAATGACTTTATTGACAATCGATGAGGAAAATAAGCATTTCAATAATCGTGGATACTAGGTTAAGTGATATTTAACGAACCGGTTAGGGAAATGTATTATAATTATTAGCAATGCTAACCCATTACTGGAACGCGTATAAAAACGAACATTCAAGAAAGTTCTGTTGCGTAAAAATATAGTAGAAACTGTCAATCTATATGAAAGTAAACTTAAAATTATAAACACACTAAACAATGTGAAACGGAGTCTTCCATAGAAAATTTCTTGGCAAAACCATTAAGAAGTGATTTTGTCCCCAGATGCCCTGGTACGGCTGAGGGTAGTGAGAATTAGCTCTCCCTCTTGAAATGCCCTCACATGGTCACGCGTATACAGCCACTGCTGAGGAAGTCCTTCTCACTGCCTTCTAGTGGCAGGGGTGTTGTTTGCGAAATTGAGAGGACCAAAATCGAATGTTCGGCGCTTTAACCAGGTCGGTGAATATGATGGATTCACCTAGGGGAGTTGGAAAACCCTGATTCCAAACCTATGGTGCACATGGGCTCCAGTTTCCTGGGGGAACAAATGGCGTGTGGACCAATTATTGGTCACCGGCTACCATGGGACTGCACCTCCTGATGTTGTTCCACTGCTTTGTGGATTAGATCTTCAGGTCAAAGGTTCCTTAAGAAAAACACCTGCTTCGGTTTGGACACCCGGGCAGTATCGTAGCCGATACACAATTCAAGTGACTAGTGTGGGACATATATATTCAGTGCCCTTTGTATCAATATTTATGTATTCAAATAAATAAATAAATAAATAAATAAATAAATAAATAAATAAATAAATAAATAAATAAATAAATAAATAAATAAATAAATAAATAAATAAATAAATAAATAAGTGATTTATTTAAGTGTAGTTTCAAAAACTAACCTTGCAACATTACAAAGACATGTGAGCATTTCTTGTGGGTTTAGTGCAGATAGCACAAAAATTAATGTTACTAGATCAACACCATGTTCAGTATTGTTGAATTCTTGTTCACTAACTGAATTCAAACAGGACAAAGCAGCTTTTAAAGAATAGGGTTTGGTTACATCACAAACAAATGCATTACATTTAGCTGGAAGTTCCTTGAGACGCTCATTCAATATGTCCACAGCACGTTGTGAAATATCGCAAGCATATATCCTTGAAATTCCTATTTTTATAAAAAATAACAAAAGGTTATACTAAATTGAGCATGTTGAATAGATGAAAGTAAATTAACTAAGAAATTTTAAAGAGAGCAAGAACAAAAATTGGTGCAGAATAATATGAATTCATTTTATTTCGTTAGGTTCTCATCAGCTGCTTACAACCTAAATTATTTAAAATTCAACATTAATACAGATATTGACATATTTATATATAAGAGTGTGACTAAGGATCAATACATGTGTATGATGATGTAGCGAATACTCAGATAGAGTTAATGAGCTCATAAAATGTTTGATTCGAATAAATAAATAAAGTTTGAGAGGGAAAGTTCCAGAACATTGAAATAGTGATTAGAACTCATGAAAATTGATTAATGGTAATAAAGAAAATATGAATTGAAATCAATCAGTTATGTATGATGTAATTTATATTTCAGAAAGAGTTGCAATAATGACGTAATAAATAAATAAATAGGAGCAAATTAATAGAAAGAGTGGGGGTTATTGTTACCAGGGTAAAGAAAGATTTATTACTGTCTCTTTTTGTATACATAGATCTGGTTTTAAACGTTTGATTGCTAACGCTTCAGCGAATTTCAATTTTATTTCGTTAGGTTCTCATCAGCTGCTTACAACCTAAATTGTGAGAATCTTTGACTTTATGTTAATATTTCATACGAGGTAAAAAATTTTATTGGTACCATAGTGAATAAAGTGATATTTTATTACTATATTCTTATAAGAGTCTACTCGTTAGAAAATGTAATATAGTAAATATGACAACTGACGGGATATAAATACTGTATTCATGATAAAAATTTGTGTGAATAGCCAACGATTATGGCTTGAGCCACTGAATAAACATCTAATTCCATAAAATTACAAGTAAAAACTAACAATAAGTGCCAAAAATTTATTCGATAATAAAATTGAAACAACTAACATTTGTTTTATTTATACAATATGTACAACTATTTACGTTTAATGTCAGAAGGGGCTTCAAGGGGTATATCCTGGAGTTCTAGTGAGAAGCAGTGACCAGTGGGATTCAACCTGGTCTGTTGTGAGATAGTAACTCACTGATGACAATGGTGGATGTGTGGCTCGATTTCGTGAATTAGTTGAAGTTAGACATTAACACCGTTGGATGCCGGCTCAGTGATCTAGTAGTTAAGCGCTCACACGCGAGACTGATAAGTCCTGTGTTGGAATCTCGCGAGGCGGGGTTGTGGATGTGCACTACTGAGGAGTCCCACAATAGGACGAAACGATCGTCCAGTGCTTCCAGGTTTTCCATCGTGGTCTAGCTTCAATTGACTTATCATCTCAACTATTGATATTTACGTTTAGTCATCAACAATATAACATCCGAAAACAGATGAGAACTCATGATTTAAAAATATGTAAACAATAAAATTTAAATTATATATTCTGGAGATTTAAGTAGAAAACTACCGGGTATAACAGTAATATTTAACACATCTTGATAAAAGTTTATACCTTTTAAAGATATTTATTGAATTTTCGAATAAATTAAACCACAAGTCTGTATAATATAAATGACTTCTGCTACTATGCCTGTGTGAATAAGTCAAGCAATAATAAAATTGTAGAGTGATGCATAACTTGCAACGAGATAACCACCCCGTCAGCAGACCCTTTGCTGATTTTTTACTTCTATGAATACTTAACCGACAAGTGGTTGGTACTGACTGAAATCCTTAATTCGACGACGCGTAGTGAGAACACAAACTAGCGATATGAATTTATTTTCTAGGTCAAATAAATTCTTATAATTAGTCTGGGTTCTTACTACGCGTCGTCGGATTCGAGGTCCCAGTATGGAGCACAAGTCAGTTAAGCATCCCACAGATATAACATTGACCACTTGATCTAGCAAGCTCTAGCAAAATGTACATCTCCACCCAATAACATGAAAATTACTAACCATATTATTTTACTTGAAGTACAAACTAACCCTTGATCTCCCGACCGAAGCTGCTACCTTGACGCGGTGGTCGGGCTTGCCTATCGTGATGACCCAACCGAGCTATATTGGCTGGAACATATGTTCCTGTAGGTTCTACCATCCCAGGCAGGTCGATTGGAGAACGGTAAGACTAAAAGCAGCAACTCAAGGTCTGAGGGCGAAGTCGTACTGCTGACAGTAGAGTGGTGTGACAGCAGTAAGGTGTTTCCCTCAGACAAACAGCATCTGCAGCGATGCTGCCTTCCCACAAGGAAGGGTGGGGTTAGAAAAGGTCGACCCTAAAAATGCACACCTCACCTTACCTCACGGATTTCCGTCTCTGGCGGTAAGGCCCTTTGAAGAACGGAGCTAACACATTAAAAACCTTTCACGAAAAGGCCGTGCGCAACCGGCCTCAAGCAGTTGTCCCTCGGGCTCTGAGGTCACACTCCCAGGTCGTTAAGACCAACACTAATCCAATTTCCTTTTCAGACTACTCAAGAAATACCCTTCCACGAGGTGGGCAGCCGGGAAGTGATATCAGCCCTCATACCCGTAACAACACACAAGATCAAGTTGATCACATTCAAATCCTTCCTACATCTCCTAATACCTCTCTTATCTCCATGACTAACCCTCCTCACGTCTCTTTATCACCCAGCACCGCTAGGGCAAACGATTAGAGTACGCGGAACGCCATTCCTGGTCTCCTGAAACCACGCTCTAAACTACACGTAGGGGCTTTTAACGTCCGAACACTGTGCCAAATAGGACAGCAGGCTTCCTTAGCTAGGACTTTAGAATCCCGCGTCATCGATGTGGGCTGCATCTTCGAAACGCGCATACAAGATCCGAGTAGCGTCATTCATTTGACCTCACCGTGTCAAAACAAAGAACAACTCGATTCACACTTCGTGTATCTGGAAGCCCTGATTCTGCTTCCCGTGGCCTCGCCGGCGTAGGTATAGCATTGAGTCCTAGGGCAGAACTAGCTCTCTTAAAGTGGGTCCCAGTAGACAGTCGTTTGTGCGCTGTCCAACTGAACGGAACAGTAAGGATCCGAAAAGATAGGGACACTCACCGTTGCCTCTTCGTCGTCTCTTCCTATTCTCCCACTGACTGCAGTGCAGATGATGTAAAAGATGAGTTTTACAGAAAGCTCTCCGACCTTGTCCGAAAAGCTAGGCGCCCGGATGTAGTAATAGTGGCCGGTGACTTTAATGCTCAAGTAGGTAAACTAAGCGATAGGAAAAGACACCTGGGTGGATCTTATAGTGTCGTGGCTCAAAGAACAGATAATCACGACCGTCTGTTGCAGCTATGCTCAGATAACCACCTGTTTCTTGCAAATATCAACTTTAAGCATAAGGAAAAACATCTTTTAACATGGCGACCCCCTAATTCGTCCCAACGTTGGAACCAAATAGATCACATCGCTATCAGCCACCGATGGAGGGGCTCGATAGGAGACTGTCGCTCATTCTGGAGCACATGCTTAGATTCAAACCATGCTCTAGTACGAGCGCGTATTTGCCTTCGTCTTACTGGACGCAGGAGAAACGCTGCAAGGAAACCTCTTAGGGCCTACTTAATGATAGTCAAGCTAAGAGTATATTTCAGAAACAACTAGAAAAACAGTTGAGCAGCCATGTATGTGATGCCCACACCGAGGCAGCATGGAATGATATCCGAAAAGCTGTGGAAACAGTAGTGATATATGCTAGTACGGTAAACTACAAGGTTAGGGAGAAACACTGGATCTCAGCAACATCTACCGCACTGATAGATCCTCGGAAACTCATTCCACCTGGCTCTGGACATAGTGAAGAGCGGAGTCAGCTTAAGCGCAAGCTGACAAGAAGTCTACGCAATGATCGTGAACAGTGGTGGGTAGCAAAAGCAAGAGAGATGGAAAAGGCAGTGGCAATAGGTGATAGCAGACAATTGTTCAGACTTGTTAAGGAAACCGGTATTAGGAACCCGACTGTTAGCGAAGCAACCTCAGAGAAAGATGGACATATTATACATTCTCAATCTAGGAGATTGGATCGATGGGCAGAAGACTTTCGGGATCAGTTCAACTGGCCTTCAGACACACGTCGGTTTCCCACGATCTCCAGTCTACCTGAATGGCAAGTTAATGTAAGTCCTCAGACTCTTTGCGAAGTTGAAAAAGCTATAAAAAATCTGAGGCGAGGGAGAGCAGCAGGCCCTGACAGGTTTACCCCTGAGAACTTTAAGGATAGTAGTCCAGTATTAGCAGTGAGGTTAACTGAGATCTTAGGTAGAATTTGGGAACTGGACGTAATCCCATCTGACTGGTCTCAATCACTAATTGTTCCAGTCTATAAGAAAGGACAAAAGTTCTCTTATGACAATCACAGAGGAATCAGTTTGACTAATATAGTGTCTAAAATATTAGCTTCAATAATACTTCGACGCCTAACCAAAGCTCGTGAAGAACAGACTAGAGTAAATCAGGCTGGTTTTCCACCTGGACGTGGTTGTATAGACCAGATATTCACACTACGTCAGGTTCTAGAACACAGACACACATTCAGACGCCCCACAATCGTAGTATTTCTCGACCTTAAGGCGGCATTCGACTCTGTTGATCGTGAGGTTCTATGGCAGTGTTTGTCACTGAAAGGAGTACCAAAGAAGTACATTAACCTTATAAAGGCTCTCTACTCGAACACAACTGGTAGAGTGAGAGCTTATGGCGAACTGTCATCAGAATTGATTACCTCAAGTGGTGTTCGTCAGGGCTGTCCACTCTCTCCATTCTTGTTCAACTTTGTCATCGACGTACTTTTAGAGATAACACTTTCCTCGTCTGGATTTCCAGGGGTTGAACTTCTACCGGGAGATTCACTTGTTGACTTAGAATATGCTGATGACATAGTTTTGTTTGGTGAAGACGCTCACAAAATGCAGTCTTCTGACCACTCTAAGCAACAATGCAAGCATGTTCGGGATGCGATTCTCTCCCTCGAAATCCAAAATGTTGCTTCAGGATTGGGTTGCATTGACACCCGAACTAATGATAGGGAGTAAAGTAATTGAACGTGTCGATCGCTTCACTTATCTTGGAAGGATCATCAGCCCCTGTGGTCTGGTGTGTGACGAAATCTCAGCACGCATACAGAAGGCTCGACTAGCTTGCTTTCGCCAACTTGCGTCATTTATGGCGTAGGCGAGATATCCGTCTATCCACCAAAGGACGAGTTTACCGCGCAGCAGTTCGTTCCGTCCTACTTTATGGTAGTGAAACATGACCGGTAAGAGTAGAGGATATTCGTAGGTTACTAGTATTTGATCATAGGTGTCTTCGAAACATTGCTCATATATCCTGGGACCATCGAGTAAGTAATGCAGTTGTTAGGAAACGGGTACTAAGTAAGGATGGCAAATCAATTGATGACGTAGTGAAACTTCATCAGTTGAGATGGCTGGGACACGTGTTACGTATGCCCAACCACCGACTGCCTCGACGTGCGATGTTCAGTGGTATAGGAGTAGGTTGGAAGAAAGCTAGGGGCGGCCAGACCAAAACATGGCACAAGTCCATGAAGTCACTGACAAGTGGTCTGAGCTATGTTGGTAGGTGTAGACTACCTGGTTGGGGACCGCGAGATGATAGCAACCCTGAATGACATGGCTCAAAATCGTTTGCAATGGACCAGGTGCATCCACTCTTTATGTTCTCCCAAATTCTAATCTTCTGAATTCTTCATGTCCCTTTCTTTTTTCTCCTTCCAAATTTATTTCACTGGATTATACTCATTGAATAACATCTTCAAACCCTAATTTTTCTGATTACAGCTTATAATTTTACTACATCTAGCACTACGGGATTTGAATCGACCACTGCATCTCTGTGCTAATGTGGTGTGGCAACTCGAACTGATGTACGTACGTACGAAGTTCTACGTTGTTACTGACTGGCTAAACCCTTGATTTCTTTCCACAATATGTATTTTGTAATAAACAACTGTATATGAATGGCATGACGAGAAATGATCGGATAAATAACAATGGTAAAATGGGCCAAGAAATTTCTGTTACAAGATAGGGACGGTAGTTATGAACGGTCAATACATCAAATCGTGAATGTTACATTTTAATCCTAGTTCAAAGAGTTGACAACTATGATACTGTCAATAAAATAAGCAATCTGATTTCAACTTGTATAATAATAAAAATAAGAGTTGAGAAAAACCAAACCATTGTTAACGATAAACTTTGTAACACAACACTATTGGTAGATGTACCGTTGCAAGTATAACCTAGATGTAAGTTGACAGATTCGACAGAGAAAAATGACATTGTGAAATAAACTGAATGAGAATAGTATTATGCTAGATAAGTTTACTAGCTTTAAGAAAATTGTAAGTGCGAAAAAATCATTTGATGAACATGACTGTTGAACCTAAAATTGTTTTAAATTCCGAATGTTTTGTTGGTAGTGGGAGAGATAAGTATTTGATAATTTGCGAAGTTTAATAAACATGTTTTAAATCTGGGAAAAAACAAAGAAAAGTAGATTCTCAATAAAAAGGAGCATCGCCAAGTTCAGAATACAATTATGACTTAATTTACTTGAATAGATTATTTAGAAACAAACAGTAATCCCCGCTTTGGTGTCATATGATGTGTAAATTAATGATTACTAACCGTTTGTTTTTGAAACACGACAAGATTCTTCTGATATATTTATACCTGCTTTTGAAATGGAAAGCATGCTTTCAATTAAAGGGACTAGAAAGTTTCCAACACCGCAACCGACTTCAAGAAGAGATCTTGGAATTCTGTTATGTAAGGATGATAATTCTGTAAACTCGCGTGTTGTCCAATGGCGATCCTTTTAGATTAAAAAAAACAAAGAAAGTTATTCCCTGACAGTATTGTAAAGGATAAAATACCAACTTAATCATCACGCGTGTAGAATATTGCATTAGGATAAATGAACTGTGGTGCAACAAGCAGTAGCCTACGTAGGAGATTTGGCAATGATTAGTAAAATGAATTCACCGTTCGAAATGACAATGTAAAAGATATTAACTAAAGAGGCTGTTTAAAACTAGTGATAAAATTCATGAGCGTAGGAAAATTAAAGACCGTATCTAAGATTCGATAGATTTAGATTTCATCTTTGATGATCAGTAAATGATTAAATCAGAAATTGATATTATGGACTGTTGGTCGATAAGGCAGAAATCTCCTTAGTTTAAACCCTTTTATCAACAGTTCGGCACGTCCTTGTCCATTACTGGTATAAAATGAAAGTTTTATAACTTCTTTAGACGACGAGTTGTTTCCATTGAAGCAATTCAAGTGCTGAACTTTTATTCGAATTTTCGTGAAAAAAAACAAGTCTAGCATGAGAATTAATAAATACGACTTACCATATTAATTTCATCATAGTCACTGCTGGAAACAAAGGCACCTAGGTCTACGTTATGGCGAAATTCATTGTTGACTGGTATTTCTTAATCTTCAGTCGTAGGTAACAACTTTGTTCGAACTATGTGGGTGATTTATAGTGCTTAAGGGGCAATGGAAGCAAATTTGTACAATGGGACTAGAATCGCCAAACCACATATCATATGCAGGACTAAATTAACTATCAGGCAGAACTGTTGGTGAATAATCACTATACTACTCGAAAGTCTTGCGAAATCCATTAGCGTCAGCTGCGAAACCGGTGTCTAGGATGTTCTGCAGCATGTTTATTGGATACAAGGAGTCAGCAGATAATAACCACCACCCTTTGCACAAACTTATGCGGTTTACTGTATCATTAAACCGCACTGCGTAGGTAACCAAATGCCTACACGGTAACTGCGTTTCGCACCAGAAATAGCAGTTACACTTCATGGTATTCGTGCGGATAGTATACCGTCCAGTAAAGTCTCGTACTGCAAGGGTATTTCCCCATTGGTTAAAAATTTGCTCAATGTGTGCATCCCATCTTTCGTAAGTTAACAAGAGCGCGGACCTATACGTCTTCATAAGTCAAACATGCCATGAGTGTTACGGGCAGTAACTATCTTAAAATCCTGGACCACTTGATGATACCTTGTCTGCAACCAGTAGCTACTTCGCAGAAACAAATGAAATGCACAACGTAAAGCAGTACGCTTTAAATTATACATCTTTATAACCCTGTGCGTGGCCTCAGCGAAGTTGGTGTTAGTCTGCAGAAGTAGTTGAGCACGTAACTTGAACGCTTGAGTTTACTTTTCCTTTGTCATCAATAAGTTGTTCTCAAGGAAACAGAAAAAGGTGGAATCTTTCTGTTCAATATACTGACGTACAAATGGAAACTAAAAATGATATCAATGGACTAAATACCTTTGTTACCGTTCAACGTTTTTCGTGTACATTACTTCCAGAAATAATTCAAACATGCTGGTTGACACGTTCTACAGAGACAATAGTCACATAATATCGTCTGCTTATTCACCCCAGAACGTTGAATAAAACAAGAACTCTGCACAAAAAACCCTGAGCACTCGGAGAGTTGGTAGATGGAGCATTGCTTGTGACACAGCTGACGTCAATCGTAAAAGATCCAATAGGCGTGCCAAACAAAACACTATCGCGGAAAAAACCCTAAAATCCTTTTTACTGGATCTGATGTTTTTCTGGCTTTAAATTTTAAGGTTACGTCAATAGCCTTTATGAATTCATTTAATGCTACTAACTGGCATAGTGACATTTGTCACTATGTGATATCATAAAAGTTGGAACTTTTGGGATTGGTTTTCGTCTTGTTATTACTATTATGTATATTTCTATTGCATAATAAGTAAGTAGAATACTAAATCTATATATTTCGCTTCTTTTACGCTTTCGTTTAATCCATTAACTATTAGTGAGCTGTATACTATTCCTTTTTTATTGCAAATTGATTATTCGCAGACACTTTCGGCTCTTTTATGTATAATTGTGATTTTGCGTTTTATGGTGCGATGCAGTCCAGTATTTTTATATATAAATCCACTTGCGTTTGAAATATAACAATAATGGAAACTGGTTGCTGACTTTTTGGACTAATAGGAGTTTAGCGGTGTTAGCTCGAGGTCAGCCGTGTTGGTCAGATGTATAATTGATTAAATCTGAGACACTAGAATATAAAATAAATAACAGAAGTGGAATAAACAAAATTAGAACTTTGGTTCGTGAATTTAACACGTGACGTTGGTTGGCATCCCAAGACATAAAACAATTAGTACGATATCCGTCAAACGACAAGTTACGTTCTTCTGATCTCATGTGCAAAGGAAATAAGATTGTAATGGACCATCTACGTTATATATATACATATTATCAACGCCAAATTTTATTTTACACAATCGTATAAATTAAAATGAAAATTATACCAAGTAATAAAAACCTTGAAAAATCGAACACCATTACGCTTGTAGAAGCGATCCCAATTTTTGCCACATTCTTTGAAAAGTTTGGTTCGTTCAAATGAACTAGCCAATGTATCGATTTGTTTAGCGATGGCCTTGTTTATTTTTTCACCTTCAATCATAGGGGGATCATGTTGGTCAGAATTATCATCAGCTGTGAATCGTAGATTAAAGAGTGGAAGTTTTATTTACGTAACAAAACAAAATAATGATTTAGTTGAAATATAGAAATGTTAAAATTTTACAGTGTCAATTTTTTATAGCCACTTATTAGTTGGTTAGTAAAATGATTTTACTGAATTTAATTAGAACAGTGACATAAAGAACCTTTCATACAAATAGGCAGAAACAGAAATAGTATAATTTTAAAGTTGATAAAATTATTTTCAGATTGGGGTTGTGAAGATAATCGAATTTCACTGAAATCATGAATCAATCACTGTTAGACCACCATTGAAAAAGTGTAAGCAATGGACGGTCGTTTCGTCCTAGTATGGGACTGAAAATTAACATGTGCTCTCTACTGACTGGCTTCGAGAGGGAATTCTCAAAGTTCTAGTCAGATGCCGTGACCAGTGTTCAACCGTGTCGGGTGTGAAGCAGTTATCAACGGAAGATAATGGACAATGGTAGCGCGACAACGTGGATTGGTTGAAGTTAGACATTAACACCGTTGGATTCCGGCCAAGTGGTCTAGAATTTAAGCGTTCGCGCACGATACCGAAGGTCCTGGGTCGAAACCCCGTGTGCAAGATCGTGGATGTGCACTGCTGGAGTCGCATACTAGGACGAAACAGATATCCAGTGCTTCCAGGTTACCGATGGTGGTCTAACGTTGGTCGGTATTTGATTTCAATGGGATAAAATTATTGTTTGAGGGAGGATGAAGTCACTTGTACTTTTTAGTTCCATGAATCTTAGAGATAAATCATATGCTTGTGTTCTGATGATTGTCTGTTTATTTAGTCTGCCAATATACTTCTAATATTCTCATTTGCTAACTGAACAGGGTATTTTAATTGCAAAATTTTTACATTTATTCAGGATATAGAGATTGCAGAACACTTGGTGAATTGCACAGTTTTTGGGATAGTTATGTGTGATACTGTTGGATCTTACATAATTATCTCCGAAACATAAATCATAACTGCAATTGACACTGTTGAAACATCAGTTAGCGAAGCCTATTATTTTACACACAATGATACTTGGGAATAAAAACTCTAGCAAGAACTTTAGAAATTTTTCAGTGATTATTGGTATGAATAAGATGTCAGTTATTATCACAATGTCAGTCATATAAAGACAGGACTTGATAAAACTGTATGTTAATTCAACTCGCCATATTTTACATCACTATAGTGAGATAAAAATAAAAAACAACAGAAATTGTCTCAAACGGATTGATGCAAAGTAATTAGCTGGACTTTTCATTGTACCTAAATATCAAACCGAGCTAGGTTTATGGTTAGCTATCAGCCCAATAAAATTTATGGATAAGCATTGGTTGAAATATGTGACGCCATGAAAATGGCGAGTAAAGACACCTGCAGCTTCGCTAAACGTCCCATTTATAAGCGTTGAGTTTCTACAGGCTTCTTACAACTCATTGAAGCACATCTGTCTACTCCGGGTGACCGAGAGCTTGACAATAAACGTAAATTTTTAAGGAATGAAATTGTGCAAAGTTTGAGTAATGACTGAGAGGCCCAGTGGCCGGAGCGTGTTAATGAGTTGGAAGCAGCAGCTGCATCTGGTAACTGATGGCAGCTCTCTCAACTCTTCCAAGCCATTAGGAGCATGAGGTCTGTTGTGAGTGGAACAATATGCAAAACTGATAGGACGCAAATCAATAATATTTAGTGACATCTTAGACAATGATTAGAGCTTATCGAGGAACAGTTCATGTGGTTTGCTGCCCAGGTGACAGTTGTCAGATTGTCTTGTTCGGTATGGCCGGTGACGACTGATCCACCTGAAGAGGTGGAATTCCACAGGGAACTCTAATTCCTGAAGCAGACTACTTGCCACAAGCAATTTTTAAAGAGTGGTGGGGAACTTCTGGTCAGAAAACTGACTGAATTGTTTGGAAATGTTTGAAAATTAAAGTGTTCCAACATCCTGAAATGAAGTGACAGTCGTCGGTATCTTTAAACAGAATTTACGTTATGTATGCAGCATATATCAGGAGACAGATCTACTCCCTGTTGCTTCCAAACTATTGACTTCCATCATGCTTCACATATTGTTCGAAACCCATGAGGAGCAGGCTGGTTTTACTTAGGTCGAGAATGTATTGATTATATCTCTGCTCTCCACCGAACGTTAGAACACCACTATACTTATTCCAAGTCAACAATTGTTATGCTCCTTGAAATTGGGACAGTCTTCGATTCGTTAGACAGGGCTGTTCTCTGCTGAAGAAGGGTGTGCCAGGGAAGCTTACTGAAATATTGAAAGTTCTGTATGCAAACACCTCAGGTAAATTAAGGGCAACACAACCACCTCTTTCAATTGTCCCATTCTAGTGAGGTTAGACAGGGTTGTACAATCTCACCCCTACTCTCCAAGTTCTCCATTGATGACATTCTGGAAATAGCTCTGATTGAAGTATGTGGTGATGGTGTGAATCCATTACCTGGAGGTAAACTTTTCAACCGTGAGTATGAGGATGAAATTGTATTACTGTTTGATGATACTCAGGCTATGTAATCCGAACCTCATCAGTTATCAATGTGTCCGTAGCACTGACAAAGGACAATAATGCTATCACTATTTACTATGTAATTTAGTTTTGCTGAGGATCGAAAACTAACTACGATTTGTACTTAATGAAGCGATTACCATTACTGAGACATTTTAGAAAAAAGGGAACTACAATTCCACTGCCAACACATTCATTATTGCAACGATATGAACAAAATGATGAATTGAAAATAAGAAGTAAATAATATTTAGAAACATTTTAAAAAGGTAATATTATGTTGACTTCAATACTGAGGACGGTCAAAATATTTTTGGTATACTGTAGGAGACAATAAGAAAGTACTTCAGGAATATGAAACATACAAACAAATATCTTCCTTTCTATCGTAAAAAAATACATTTTTGTTGAGTTTAATCTTCAAACGTGTTAGCGGGACATAGACTAGACTAAAGCATGCTCAATGCATGATTGCTTTGGTGCACGCTGATTGGCTAATTCTTATCCAATCAGCGCTAGTCGATAGTTGGAGAATATTCTGGATTCTTCTTATGTAAAAACTATAAATATACCGACGTTTTTCCCTATTGTGCTTCCTACTGGCTTCTGACTTGCTATTTGGAATATAATCTTTTTCCTGTTCAACCGTGTTCTGATTTGGGGACTTGTCGAGTGAATCGGTGTCCGAGAATACTAAGCAATAGGAATAGCTGGGTCATTAAACGTAAGAAAATAGAATTATAACAGTGGCGACGGGGAAAAACTAAAGAAAAATGGCGATTTCTTTAGAACAGTTGCGGTTAATATTACAGCACCAGCAGAAGTTGTTAGCCTTGCAACAACAACTATTCAACACACTTTTCACTCGACCAGAAAATAAGAAATCTGTTTATGATGCAGTAACAGACATTTCAGAAGCGTATCTAGTGGAGGGTTCAAATCCCTTTATACCTGAATCAGAACGTAATATTTGTAACGTGTCCGGCTCACAGCAAGAAAATACTGTGCTGAATGCACATGAGGTTGTGACAATACCAGATGATCAGGAGCCAGGTCCTGTAGATGAAGCCCGGAGTCCAGAATCAAATGAAACACTACTGGTACTGTCTAGCTGCGAAAATAAACGTCAGCTCGAACAAAATTGTGGTCCACGTGCTATTAGTCGAGAAAGCTGTGGTGACTCGTATTCAGAAAATAACTGGAGCAACACGATGAACCAAATTGTACCAGATGTTACTCAAAATCACCGGAAGACAGAATTTTATATTGAGTCAACTTATCCCATTTCTAATGACAGTGTACCAGATATTGATTCTCAGAATAATGCATATGATTTTGATGAACCTTCTTATAACAATGAGGGAAATATGTCAGCTGAGTCGAATGATGGCCAAAAATCTAATCTAATTCTGTTAGACGTTGACTTTCTTAATGACTCGTTATCTGCTAACGAGATTCATAATGAATTTGAAAATAATGAACTCAGATCAAAGGTTGTTCATCATCATCTAGTCATTTTTAGTGGATTCTCCAGTCAATACGAGAAACATGGTTTAAATAAAGTCCTACTAGTTATAATTTGGAGCCATAAGGACCCAACATTATTTCGAGGAGGAGGAGAATGTTGGAGAATTAAAAGTTATGCATACTTTTTTTTTAAGAAAAATCAAAACGCCGGGAACAGACATGTCAGTCTCTGTGCAAGGAAAAAGTGATAATTCTTCATTGCCTAGACGATAGACTAATCGAAAGCACAAGCTATTCACTCAGTTGCAGTTGGACCCTAGCACCAGATCCTACGAATCTGCTCAGAGGGGAGGTGTTAGCGGGACATAGACTAGACTAAAGCATGCTCAATGCATGATTGCTTTGGTGCACGCTGATTGGCTAATTCTTATCCAATCAGCGCTAGTCGATAGTTGGAGAATATTCTGGATTCTTCTTATGTAAAAACTATAAATATACCGACGTTTTTCCCTATTGTGCTTCCTACTGGCTTCTGACTTGCTATTTGGAATATAATCTTTTTCCTGTTCAACCGTGTTCTGATTTGGGGACTTGTCGAGTGAATCGGTGTCCGAGAATACTAAGCAATAGGAATAGCTGGGTCATTAACCGTAAGAAACCAGAGATTATAACAAAACGGAAGTTTCGAATTAGTTTATCTGAATTGGCCTATTCTAGATGGAATGGTTCGTAAACGACAGCTGTGGTAACAGTAGCGTTATTGCTTGGATCTCGTTGATTTTCTCTGTTTATCACTGGATTCTCAATTTACTTATATTTTATCACCAAACTGCACATGGGTGAACATGTTTCCTACTATTACATAAGCCGTTAATGTCACTTTTCTCAAAAGTAAACAACTGGTCTTCATTGATATACGCATATTTCAGCTAGGTTTATATTAGAAATTATAATAATCTAGGAGACTAAATCATGCAACTACAGATAAGTTTGTCCAATAGTTTTATTGGGAATCAGATATAAATAGCACAGACACTATTGACACAAGTACAAAACGGGGATAAATGCCTTTTACTACATAAAACTATTGATTTATACGAGGTTTGTCTGCCACTTTACACTAGTCATTCATAATGTAAATAGTCTGGATGTATTTGGGATTAATTCACTTCATAATGTTACTGTGAGCTAGACTAAAATTAAAAAACATAAAATACAATACAATGCCACGAAAATATTGAGACTAGTAGTTTCGAATACAATCCAAACTTGATCAACAGAATTCAGTCAGTAGTGTGAACTAGACGACATGAAACTGATCACTTTACTAATCGACTAGTATAAAGAATTCAGTTTTACTATATTTTGATAGTACTATAAATAACTTGTAACTGTAACAGAAACACAAACTTAAATATCTACAAAAGTGTTCGTGAGGCTATAGATAGCCCTTCCTAACTAGTGTGGATTAGAATACGATCAAGATGGACGGTATTCTATCCATTAACTACAACCATCTAATTCACCATCTCCCAAAATAGGATTAATCTGGTTGCCTTGACAGAGCATAAAGACCATCGGGTAAGAGGAAAACAACCCATCCGGTATATAATTCTAGTGGTGTTGTTCACGAGTGAAAATGAAACTATTTAGTTATCCACGAGGGGTAAAATGGGTAATTAAGTAAGTGAGTGGGGATATTTAAACGTACTTGGTGAATGGGTTTTTGTTGCTTGCTCCGTGAAATCCTCTGACGAACTACAATACTCAGAACTATGCAAGTAGAGTTATAATGAACAGGTAAACAAACCTTGAAGAACCAGCTGAAATCTGTTTATCTAGTTCAGCGTAAATATCAGCATATGATTCTAAAAACAATAGTAACTGGTTCCGAAATATGTAAACTTACCAGTATTTGAGCTATCTACACGCGTTATTTCATCCAGAAAACGTTCTTGAAAACAGAGAATTTCTTTACTAGTAGAACATTTCGCGTAAGATTGTAACCATTGGTCATTTAACGTTAAAAATTGATGACCCCAAGAAAACTTATTTAACAGTTCAGTTGCTTGATTGTGTTCACCAAGAATATAAAGACTTGCAGCCAGAGCCTCAACACATGATAATTGAAACGGTTTGCCGTATTTTACTGGATTAGATGCAATCAAAAGTGGAAGTAGACGTCCATGATGAAATTTCAACTAAACGATAGAAAATGTAATGATAATAGTTAGGAGTATATGAAACAAAAGAAAAATAACTAAAGAGCAGAATACAAATAATGGAATTTAGTGAATATTAAGAAAACAATTTAATCAAACTTCTATTCACGAGAAACGAATCGATATCGTTTAGAAATATGAGGGATTAATAAAGTTCGTGTGCGGTTATTCTTTAACGGTTGAAATAATCATCTTCTAATCAATAAGTTGCAGGTCTGGACTCTGCTTGATCTAAATCAGCATAGATAGCGGGATAGGAACTACATTTCCTACAAAAATAGTATGGTTTGAAGCTACACAACCCCATACGTCATGAGTTATAACTAACTTCTTGACACAGCTATTGTTAGCCTTCTTCCAACTTATTCCCATACCAGTCAGCATCTAACGGATACATGGGGGTTCGAGTTAACATAGGCTCATGACCCTATTTAGATGGTTTTCTACGTTTAATATCACTCACTCAGTGATTCCAAATCATGCGAACTTTTTGTGGGCTTTTACTTTCAAGTGCTCGCAAACTACAATTTGTACTTTCAACAATCATATTCCACATCTATAGCCTCTTAGTGGACAAATCTTGCCTGTACTACCTACTTCGGTTTGGGCACCCGGGAAGTATCCTAGCCCTCACAAAAATCGAGTGACTTATGTGACGCATATCTATTTGGTGCCTCCTTGTACCGTTTGTGTTTAAATAAATAAATAGTACTACAAGTGGCACTACTTGTCATGTGTCCGATTAGCTTTTTATACCCATGCAGATTTTTTCGAGTTATCAACTAATCGTGGCCAATGAGAATCAAAAGGTGAGTGGAATGGATTATGCTCTAGGTAGTCACCCGGTTAGCTGTAGATAAAACGTACATAATCAGATGTCCCTCTTGTTCGGCGTGTTCATAGAATATATTTTGACATTTTCAGTCAATATTTACCAACTAGTGTCTCGAAACTTTTACACACCAGAAGTTACAAATTTCACTAATTCATAAACCAAGTACATGTTTATGTACTTCCCGATTGTCGAAACCCATGCGGATAAGGCGAGCTTTGAGTCAATCATCCGTTATTAACGTAGAATCTAGTGTACATCAGTCCAATTTCCCATACTCCACATCAGCACTGCGAGAAAGCCAACAGTATAGGGTACGAATAATTAACGGAACCAAAAAAAGTTTGAGTATCAGAAACAAAGTTCATAAGGAAAAAAATGGATGGGTCCTAAACCTGTTTCATGTTGGTTGAATGCCGTATTTTAACCAAGAAGCAATAAGACCAAGTGTGACCAGAGTATGAAAACACTAACAAAACAAACCGGAGTACGGAATTGAAGTTGTTTAGATTTGCTATGCTAAAACGATGAAATTCACTAATCCCTACTGCATAAACGTTCTGAACAGAAATAAAACGTTTGACAGACGATCAATAGGACAATGGTCTCGATTCAAGTTATTTATCTCGACTTGAGTAATTCATTTCGAAAGGTAGTAAAAAAATGGCATACATGTATAATTCATATAACCTTACCTTTTTGAATCCAGTCTGCTCCAATTGAGCCCAAGAGCAATCCACTACAGCAATCCCACCACTATACATCAACTGGCGATCAGTGTCAGGAGATAAGACACAAGTCGCAGTAGGTGTAAGAACAATGCCTCCAAAGCTTTCGTTCAGCCGTAACAACTTTGTAATTCCTAAACGAACTAATTTGCGGCCTGAGCAGCGCTTCGGATCGCACTGTTCAAAGTCCCACATAGCTGTTAGAATTTCTCTGTGTGCTTCTATTCCATAAAATAAATATGGACAAACCTACCGTTACTTAAATTACTTCCACAAACTTGTGTCTCAGCCATACCTCTCTCATACTTTGAGCTTGATGGATGTTTTCTTTTAGTTTTCATGTCCGAGAACTGAAAATACACATTAAAATCATACTGATGATAGACTTGGGCATTTTTAAATCAGCAAAGACGAACAAAATAACCTAATGACCTTACCTTTCAGGATTACTAGATATATAAGGGCACAAAACTAACCGTGCATCCGATTTACATCATAGAGGTTTGGTGTTATTTACAACACTAACATATTTCGATAATGCAATGAGAAGACGTAGTTTATCAGAATTATGTGATATATTTGCGTAATACAAATTTGGCTGGAGGGCACTTTGTGTTGCTGGACAAGATTTGACTAAAAAAGAACTTATTAACAAGACAGAAGCTCACATTCAATGCTCGTTCACTTAGAACAAATGTATTGTAGATTAAAGTTACACAATATCTTTTCTTGTAGATAAATACACTGAGCTAACGACTTTTATGTGTTATTTCTCGCCTAATGGGGCGAAACTGCTGATCCAGACCACGACACATCATTCAGGAAACAGAAAAAAAAGGAAGTTAGTTGTGTGCTAAATATTTGTAAACCGTTTCTCAGAAACCTTAGCGTTATAAATCGGACTACATCTGTAAGTGTGGATTTAGATGTGGCAAAGATACAACCCTAATGCACATCCGTCAAATTAACTACTTTTAAATTTACAGACGAGTTTTCCTCCACAGAAAAATTTTTGAACGTTACAGCCAACTGCCAACAAGTTTTGAGGTCAACAAATTAGTAGTTAATATTCGATGTGTGGTTTTTGTTTACTTAGGAACTGAAATAAATCAAATAATTATGCAAATACCGTACGCCTATCAGTGGAGTTATCTAAAAGTTAGTGAAATCCTGTTTTTTATAAATATAATCACAGAAGGAAACGAGACAATGACATTGAGTAGCAGAGATATTTAAAATCACCAATATCGATAGAAACGTCTACATATCCTAGAAGCTTCGTGCAACTTAGGGATCAGATTGTCAGTTCACTGACACTGAAGGACCAGAAACGATAATTTTTGGCCTTTCAATGTCCTAGATGACTATATTATATCAAAAAATTTGTGAAGTTCCAAAGAAATTAGTGAATTACGTGACGACACGCTCCATACAGTTAATTCGAGAGGCGAAATTCACACCTATGTGGACAATAGCAAAACTAGGTATGAAATGCTCGGTGTGTCGTTGATAATTCGCAGTAAGTCAGATTTGCATCGTATTTTAATGACTTTTTTTATCATATCGATGATGACAACAATAAATCAAAAACAACCCAATTGGCTTGCAAGCAACCAATAATTATTGGTTCCCCTTTAAATGGGAACAAGGGGGAAATAAAAGCGGACGAAAGCGTAAATGAACGAGAAATGTCGACTTTTTGCCTTTAAGTCTGTTATTGAGGGGAAATGTGGATTTTTCCTCCTTACGTCGTGTATTTGGGAGAAATTTGTAGACAATTATACGTAACGCACACCGTTTGAATATGCCCCTTCTTTCAAATGTTTCAAACGGTTGTGGACGGAATAGAAGAAGCCTCCGCTTAACGGGCTTCCGTGTCTAGTAGTAGTGGATCATCATTACCTCCAGGCAGGAACTTAGGTATATTAATGACAACAGAGGAAATTGGTAAATCATGGTAAGATATTATCCTTAGTCCTTAAGAATAGGTTGCAAGGCCAGCGAAATGTCTACAAGGTCAAGTTACCTCTTAACGGACTCCCGGGAAGTCGCTTGTACTAGCTCAGCCAGCAGCAAATTCCAGCATTTATAACTCTAAAGAAGTAGAAGTTGGGTCTATGGTTCGTTCTGCTGTGTTGTGTCTCCAGTTTATAGGTGTTACCCCTGAGGTTTGTGTTGGAGCAAAATATAAGTTGGTGTTTAAGGATATGTCCAGAAGTGTTAAGGATACTGTAAGCCATCAGAAGGTCGCCTCTAAGATACCTGTACTTTAATGAGTAGAGGTTTAGCGATTGAAGACGCCCTTCATAAGGCTAGAATTTGATTTCCCGAATTGATTTCGTGGCTCGCCGTTGGGTACGCTCCAGGGTGTCCTTATCCTCTTGGAGTGAGGGAGGAAATACTATGTTTCCATATTCTAAATGGGGACGAGTAAGACTGTTGAAGATTATGCGGAAACTTTTACCGTCAAACTGGCCAAAAATGCACTTCAATGTTACTAGTGCTACGTTTGCTCGAAAGGCATTTTTGTGACAGTTAGAGTAAGACTTCAGGTCGTAGGGTACCAACACTCTTTGATCTCCTTCAATTTGTGATGCTTATAGACGGGGGTTGCCTAAGTTGTAACTGTAGTCTGCAACATGTCTAAGACGGACTACTTTACACTTTGAAGTGTTAAACGTAATTCCATTATCATCTGCCCAACTTTGAAGTCCAGTCAGATCCTCCTAAGGTGACAGTAAATCCTCTTGGTTCCATATCTCTCCCCAGACTTTCAAATCATCAGCAAAAATTACTAGGCCAGACGATATCTGTTGTGGAATATCTTTTATATAAATCAAGAAAAAGAGAGGTCCTATTACTGAACACTAGTGGACCCCACTAGGATATTCCATAGCCTGAGAGAGTGAAATTAACACCGACCTTAAAATGTCGATGTTTTAGTGTGGTGTTTGAATGAACCAATGATACCTTTGTACTTGTTGAATGCTTGATTTCGAATTCTAAATACAGTACATTCGTTTGTGTCTATCTAGTACTTCTTAATCCGATTACGTTATTTTCGGGATTCTTAGTTCGCACTATAATTCCAATACTCCTAATCATCATATTGGCGTCGCGATGGAGCCTGCGATGGAAAAGTTAGATATTCATTCAACTTTTGAAGATTACTTTAGAAGGTTCGAAATCTGGGCTATGACCAAGGAAGATGATGAGGATGTTAATATTGTAGCACATTTTCTCACATTCATCGGAAAAGAAGCATATAGCTTATTAAGAACTCTGGCTATGCCGGAAAAGCCAATTTCGCTTTCTTATACGACTTTCAAGGATCTACTGCTACGCTATGTTAAGTATACAAATTTCGAATGTGGTAAAGGAGGGAGATCTAGTAAAATGGTTCATGAGGATTTAAAAAATTCCACTACATTACTACGTCATTCCGACCCAGTGCATACTCAAGGTTATGCAGATAGTTCATTGAGGAGTTGCAATGCATTTCACGAAAATGGGCACAAGTTTAGTCAGTGTTTGTCCTGTGTCAAGTTCCACTTTTTTAATTCATGTAAATCTCGTAATTCTAAGTGCTTTAAATGTGGCGATATTGGATATATTCAGTCAGTCTGTAATACTAATGTTCATCTTATTGCAACTAATATTAAGTCTTGTTATTCTGATTCTACTGATTCGAGTATTTATAATGCCGATTTATCTTTATCAACGATTGCAATAGACAGTGTAGAGTCACAGAACAGTTCAGAGTTAAATGAAACTCAGAATTCTTGCGAAACAACAGCTTATTGATAAGACATATATGTTGACCCTATCAAAATCTTTTGAGAAGTCTTGGTAAATGATGTCAACCTTGCCCTTGAGATCAAGGATGGTTGTCCATCTGTCCACCGCAGTCAACAGGTCGGTTATACAAGAATGACCTCACCTGGAACCGTGAGATTGGGTGAAAAGAAGGTTAAGGATAATAAATAGTCGTGTATACTGTCCTATCTCAGGGACTACACAATTTTTGAACGGCCAATGGTCGGCAGCTTGAAGGTCCGCCGCGTCGACCTCCTTTGAAAATTGGTGAGATGTGAGCCAGCTTCCGAATTTCCGGTAGTTTGCCTCGGCTTAGCGAGTGCGAGAATATAACACTAAGCGGTGTTGCCAGGAGTGAAGCTGCTTCCCTCAGTACAGCACGATGAACCAAATCCGGGCCAGGAGAAGTGTCTTTTCTTAGATGTTGCAGTTTCTGGCACACCAAGTCAACGCTCACGTTCATTTAAAGGTGAAGCTCTCATTAATATACTTAATATGGGTCGGTTGAAATGTCCAAGAGTATTATTCAGCCAAAAGGTTAGCGACATCACTGTCGTTATTGGTCGGGCCATTAGGACCTAGCAGTTGGGAAACTCCAGTTTTGGCTTGTCGAAGAGAGGATGCATAACGGAATAAGCTTTTCGGATTGGAGACAAATTTGTCGATAAGCTCTATTTGGTACTGAAGCCTGTATTTTCTTACTGTCTTTGTGCATATGTTCCTTATATGCTCGTATTGTCTGTACGCGTCGTTGTTATCAGTTCGTTTGTATTTTGCCCGACAGTGCTTATCGCGACTTAGCAAACAAAGAGTGCGGTTCTTGATGACTGTAGGTTGCTTGTCGATTTTGATGACCGTTTGAGGCACAGACTGCTTTGTAACACATAAGAGCGTGTGTAGTAAAAAGTCCTAATGAGCATCCACATCAAGTTGAGGATGAACATCCCAATCCACCTGTTGTAGATAGTCCTGTAAAGCTGACACACCGTTGGAAATTTCAGCACCTGTTGTCGATGATATGCCTTAGCTCACTTTTTCTGATAGAACTAAAGGCTATGCCGGCGTTATCGCTTCTCCTCGGGGGAGCCAGGATTGAGAGATTGCCAATTAGGCATTTGTCGTTTGTAAATACCCAGTCTAAGCGCTACAGCGTCTGGATGTTTCTCCAACGACTTGCCGGCTTCACATTTTCGAATAATCCCAGATCCTCAATGAGGTTGAAGAACCGAGCTTCTGCTGAGTTTTCACCTCCAATATATATATGTTCCACGAAATTGACTTTAGAAAGATTGAAGTCCTCTAGAATCAGGATATGAGTTAATCCAAGATGCGTAGGGTGGTAAGATCCTTCCAGCTTACAATTGTCGAACCCGATGTCAGCAGTGCCCTTCCTGTAGATGACCTCAACTAGACACCTCGAGATGGTACAACATCTTACTGAGCACCATATCGATTCCTGTACTTATATTTCCATAAACATATACAAAATAACGTATGTTGTCCGTAAGTTGTAAAGAGCGGATCAACAAGATATTGATGCATCTAATGTCGAAACCCTGTCTGGCCATCAGAGATGATAACCGGATTCTGAATTATTTCTGAGATATTATTGCGGACTCACCCAGCAGCATTAGAAGTATTCTGCGGACGTGTACAAGTGTCCTGCAGAAGTTCATCAGCAGTGGGGCTAACTAGCATCTCGGATTGAAAACCAATCTGCTAAGATATGTTGAACTTTGGTTGTATACTTCTGATTTTTATACTTTAGATTTGTATATCAATGTAGATGGACTTTCTCTTTCAAGGAGCTCCAGCCAATGTTTATGACATGTATTAGGACGGACTGCACCCTAAAGTTTAGTGGCGTGTTCATGATAGGAATCTATGGAAGGAATACTAAGCTGGAGGAATTCAACGAAATTTCTGCGGACACCATTTCTGAAATAAAAGAAATGACTAGCGTGGGAATGCTTAGTGCTAAGTTTAATAAATACATAGCTATACACATGTGGTTCACCTGCTCGTTCTGATTTTAGATACACAGTTAATCACAATGGAAAGACAGGTTGTGACGGGCGTATTGTAGTTGGGAGACGGCTTGACGGGAAGATGACTTTTTCGGATGGTGAATATACGTTAAGAACTGACGATAGCTTTCGTCGTCTGATCAATCTATTCACTATCAAGACCATTCCATTTTAAAAGTGCTTCCAATTAATATGATCTCAACTTTTTCATTGGATCCAATTCACATGGTGTACTTAGGTATCATAAAGAAACTAGCAATTCTATGGATAGAATTTGCACACAAACGACTACGAAACATGAATACATGTGTAATTGGGGATATGAATAAGTTAATATCTAGTTACATGGCAAGCATGCCCTCCGACTTTCAGTGTAAGTGCCGTACATTAGACTTGGTATCAGTATGGAAAGCTTCGGAGCGTCGATCGCTTCTTCTATATCTAGGCTTCGTAATTCTGAAACAAACTTCGTCGTGAACCTTGTGCCCTACTTTTAGACGTTTACTGTTTTCAATTTATTTGCTAGCACATCCAAAATTACATAATAGCGTTACAGAAGCTGTCGGAATGGGTTTGAGGAATATGAACGGTGTTATGGGTCTGAAAACTTAGTTTAAAATTGTAGGATCCAAACTACGGTTTGGATGTTGAAGAATAGCCGACCAGGGATTTTAGACACGCGCCCTTTCCCGTCGAAATCAGAACAAGTAATCGGGTAACTAGCGGTTCTATAATTCATAATAAATGTAATGCAAATCATTACCTAAACAAATATTATCACCCGGCTATTCAACCAATGATTGTCCAATCAATTAAATCAATCACAACAAATCAACGTTATTCTATCCTGGCTGGATAGATCACACACAACAGGAGGAACAAATCAATATGGCTACCGCCAAGAACAAGTGTCAAGTAAAACAACGCAGATGCAGTTCAGGAAGAAACACAAACTTAGTGAATGCGTAATAAAAACAAA